CTTGGGGCCGTCTTGGGGCTCTGTTGGGCTGTCTTGGGCGACTCTGGGGCCGTCTTGGGGCCCTCTTGGGCTGTCTTGGGGTGCTTTGGGGGGCTTATTGAGCCATCTTGGAACGTCGGACAGCCGAAAAGGCTGGAAGGCCAAAATCGTTCGAAAACCTGCGTAAAATTGACGATTTCGGCCTCTTGAAGCGCTCTGGAGAGGCGTCTTGAAGCGTCGTGGAGTGCCTTTGGGGACCTCTCGGGCTGTCTTGGGCCTATCTTGGGCGTCCCGGAGCGGTCTTTCGGCGACTCGGGGCCCGCTTGGGCCGTCTTGGAGCCTCTGGAGGCCCTCCTGGACTATTTTAGACCTCTCCGGCCGCCCCGTCCTCCCATGGGGAGTCGGAGGCGGCGGCCTCCGAGGCCCAGGACGTGGAAACCCTTTAAAAACATATGGATTATAGCCGGAGTGCAGTATCCCCAACCAGGGTTTTTAGACCCATTGCGGTTTCCAAAGTCGATTGCGTGCCCGTCCAGTGCGGGCTGGCATGGCATGTTAAAACATGCCTCCTCCTCCTCCTTCTCCTCCACCTCCTCCTCCTCCTCCTCCTCCTCCTCCTCCTCCTCTTCATCCCGAACGGCATCTCGGAGTCCAGAGTTGCGAGGATGTCTCCAGCGTAGCGGGCTGGACCACCTCGCGCGCGGCATCTCGGACCCCAGAGTTGCGACGATGTCTCGGGCGAAACGTGCCGCGAGGAAGTCTCAGGCGAACCGGGCAGGACCACCTCGAGCGCAGCGTCTCAGAGCTCCGAGTTGTGGGGGCCTCCTGGGGCCTCCTGGGACCTCCTGGTGACCTCCTGGGGCTTCCTCCTGGGCCTCCTGTGGCCTCCTGGACCCCACCTGGGGCTTCCTGAAGCCTCTTGGGGCTCCCAGGGGGAGATATCTAACATGTGGCCGTCGGGGCCACAAGAGCAGGAAAAATCAACGAATCGACACCGGATGTGTATTAACTTGACACGTTCTGATAGGCGGCCTCCTGGGGTCTCCTGGGAGCCTCCTGGGAATCTCCTGCGGACCCCTGGGGCCTGTCCTGGGCGTCCTGCGGCCTCCTGAAGCTCTCTGGGGCAGGGGGGATATGTAACATGTGGTCTTCTGGGCCCCCAGGCTGGACCACCTCTTGCGCAGAATCTGAGAGCTCAGAGTTGCGAGAATGTCTTGTGCGAAACGGGCCGGACCACATTGCGCACGGCATCTCAGAGCTCAGAGTTGCAAGGATGTCTCAGGCGAGATGGGCCGGACCACCTCGCGCAGGGCATCTCGGAGCCCACAGTTGCGAGGATGTCTCCAGCGTAACGGGCTGGACCACCTCGCGCGCGGCATCTCGGACCCCAGAGTTGCGACGATGTCTCGGGCGAAACGTGCTGCGAGGAAGTCTCAGGCGAAACGGGCCGGACCACCTCGAGCGCGGCGTCACAAAGCTCCGAGTTGCGGGTGCCCTGGGACCTCCTGGTGACCTCCTGGGGCTTCCTCCTGGGCCTCTTGTGGCCTCCTGGACCCCACCTGGGGCTTCCTGAAGCCTCTTGGGGCTCCCAGGGAGGGATATCTAACATGTGGGGGCCACAAGAGCAGGAAAAATCAACGAATCGACACCGGATGTGTATGAAATTGACACGTTCTGATAGGCGGCCTCCTGGGGCCTCCTGGGAGCCTCCTGGGAATCTCCTGGAGACCCCTGGGGCCTGTCCTGGGCGTCCTGCGGCCTCCTGGTGCCTCCTGGGGCCTCCTGGGGACCTCCTGGAGCTTCCTCCTGGGCCTCCTGTGGCCTCCTGAACTCCACCTGAGGTTTCCTGAAAACTCTTGGTGCTCCCAGGGGGGATATCTGACCTGTGGCCGCTTGGGCCCCTCAAAATGGAGGGGGGGCACAAGAGCAGGAAAAATCAACGAATCGACACCAGATGCGTATTAACTTGACACGTTCTGATAGAGGGCCTCCTGGGGCCTCCTGGGAGCCTCCTGGGAATCTCCTGGGGGCCCCTGGGGCCTGTCCTGGGCGTCCTGCGGCCTCCTGGACCTCTCTGGAGCCTCCTGAGGCTCGCAGGGTCCCATGGAGGATATGTCACATGTGGTCTTCTGGGCGCCCAGGCTGGACCACCTCTCGCGCAGCATCTGAGAGCTCAGAGTTGCGAGAATGTCTTGTGCGAAACAGACCACCTTGCGCACGGCATCTCAGAGCTCAGAGTTGCAGGGATGTCTCAGGCGAGACGGGCCAGACCACCTCGCGCAGGGCATCTCAGAGCTCAGAAGTTCGAGGATGTCTCAGGCGAAACGGGCCGGACCACCTCTCGCGCGGCATCTCCGAAGTCAGAGTTTCGAGGATGTCTCAGGCGAAACGGGCCGGACCACCTCGCGCAAGGCATCGCAGAGCTCAGAGTTTCGAGGATGTCTCAGGCGAAACGGCCCGGAACACCTCTCGCACGGCACCTCGGGGCTCAGAGTTTCGAGGATGTCTCAAGCGAAAAGGCCCAGACCACCTCTCGCGCGGCGTCCCGGAGGGCAACTTTTCGAGGATGTCTCAGGCGAAACGGCCAATCCCGGCCAACTCAGAAACGAGAGTTGTGAGGATGTCTCAAGCGAAACGGCCAAAACCATAAAATTTGTGTGAGGATGTCTCTGCTCCGCGTTCCCTCGGCCGGAGTTAGTTTCTATCACAACAGCACCCCGTTCAGCAAGCTGTTTGGGGAAAAATGAGCCCCGGTACCCCCATGGAGGGTCGGGGCAGCTGTTTTCGGGCACCGGGCCTCCTGGGTGCCTCTTGGGGGTCTCCTGGGGCCTCTTGGGGCCCCTTTGGGGCCTCCCGGGGCCTTGTGGAGGCGGGAGGCTCGAATTTGCGGTTCGCGGTTCCCTTCTTGGGGCCCTCTTGGGGCCGTCTTGGGCCTCTCTTCGCCCGTCTTGGGCGCGTCTTGGGCCGTCTTGGGGCCCTCCAGAGCCGTCTTGAGCCCCTCTTGGAAGCCTCTTGGGCTGTCTTGGGGCGTCCGCGGGGGGCCTTTGAGCCGTCGTGGAGCGTCGGAAAGCTGAAAAGGCGGGAAAGGCAAAATGTGCCCAAAACCTTTGTAAAATGAACGATGTGGGCCTCTTGGGGCCCTCTGGGGGGGCCTTTTGGAAGCCTCTTGGAGCGTCTTGGGGGCCTCTTTGGCCGTCTTGGGCTTATCTTGGGCATCTTGGGGCCCTCTTGGCGCCCACTTGGGCCTCTTGGAGCCTGCTGGGCCACGACAGGCTCTTGGGGCACTCTTGGGCCGCCTGGGCTACTCCAGGGAGGCTCCAGGCCCCCCCCGTCCCGCCATGGGGGGTCGAGGCACCTGTCCTGGGCCCCCCGGCCTCGCCCCCAGGTATATATATATATATATATATATATATGTATATATTCTCATACGCACCTCTCCGAGGGAGTAGAGCTCAGAGGGGATTAATGCGTCCGTGCGTCCGTGCGTGCGTGCGTCTTCGATTTTCCCGGCCGTTTCGCTAGGGACATCCTCAAAATTCTGAAAATCGGTGGCACCCCTCACGCAGATCGTGAAGGAGAGGTCCAAAAACACATGGGAATTTCAACATTTTAACATACAACCTTCAAAAACACATTGTAATTTCAATAATTTTGACCTCGATTCTCAGAGAATGGCGGTTTCGCCTGAGACATCCTCCCAAAATCGAACCCCAGACCCCTCCTCGGAGCCTCCTGGGGGCCTCCTGGAATCTCCTGGGGCCTCCTGGGGCTTTCTGGACCTTCTGGTACCCCTGACCCCGCCTCGGAGCCTCCTGGAGTTCTCCTGGGCCTGCTGAGGCCGCCTGGGGCCTCCTGGGGCCTCCTGGGGCTTCAGAACTACATGCACACACAGAGACACAAATCACGCCCAACACATCACACGCTAGACAAACATAACATACACACACACAACACCGACAACACACAAAAAGCACGCACCACACAAAGCACACATCACACACACAACACTCACAATCCTGGGGCCTCCTGGAGCCTCTTCTGGTATCCAAGTCGGGCCTCCTGAGGCTTCCTGGGGGGCCCTGGTACACACATCGCAAGGTGTGGCAACCCCACTTGCGCTCGAGTGCGACTTCGCTGTTGCATGTCACTCCTGCTTCAAACGCCCCTTCAGCTTGTTGTATGAGCCTGGGCACACACGTGCCACTTGTATATATATATATATATATATATGCTTATGTGTATATACATATGTGTGTTTATATTTGTATGCATCTACAAATACATATACATGTTCACACGCACAAACATATACAAATACCAATATACATATATATCCCCATACGCATACCCATACATATACAGGTACATACACATATAAAAAAAAACATTTACGTGCACGTATATCCATATACCAATACATAAACATACGTATGTATACGTATAAACTTAAGAATATATGAATACCTACACGTATGTACAGATTAACAATAGCATGCACCTGGACATCTACACATACCTATAATGTACCAATACATAGACATGTACATATACATGTACACATTCATGTACACATACACAATCATATACGTAACCTAAACATATACGTAGGGCCACAACAAGTACGGGAGGGACCTTGGTGCCCGCGGCTCCGCCTCCCTTGCACTGCTGGGCCTCCGCGCCTGCGGAGCGCCAACCAGCCACGTGACCACCACCGCCACTTCCCCTCCACGGCCACACTCGGTTCCGAAGAGCGGTGCAAGACAATTGTTCACGCCGTCAGGGATGTCTGTCCCAGGGCTGCTGGAAAGTTTACATACCGATGCCAAGGAGGATCTTCCTCTGCAACGTCCATGAAGCTTGACAGCAATCCCAGAGAAGCTGCGTGCGGGTGCAAGCCGAACGTATTGCGCACAAACCAAGTTAGGTTCAAACCGCTGCCGAAGATGCGGAGGGGGGCAGCGGGTGGGCGGAGGCTCGTCAGGCACCCTGTTCGGCATCCAGCCCCTCCCCAAAAGCCCCTCCTCCTCGAATGTGTTCAGCGCGTCGTTTTTCCGCACGTTGTCCTGCAGAAGGGCCCACGTCACCCGCCACGCCCGCCGACCAGATCCCCCTTGCGGGGGGGCGGACGAAGGGGAACGATAGGGGCGGGGGACTGGGAGGAGGACATTCACTTGGAATCGGCGATACGTGGGCCGATGGATCGGCGACAGGCCCTCGACGGCCGAACCGCACGCTCTAGGGCAGGGTGGAGCACCCCAGGCCCCATGTGAACAAGAGCGGGCGGGTTGGGGACCGATGCTGCCCCCCTCGGGCCACTCCCTCTGCCGGCGCCATTGAGCGGAGTCGGGGGCCGAGCACGAGGTCGTGGGCCGGGAGGGGGGGCGAGCTCGCCTCTGCCCTCCGCATGTCTCTGTTTCGGCACACCCATCACACGCTTCGTGGCCCAATGGGGAGCTCCACCTCAGGCCCCAGCGGCAGAGTTCGCATGGCGGCCCTGCACCCTTTCGGCGACCCCCTCAACGCTTCGTGGCCCCATAGTGAGCTCCACGAATGCCCCAATGGGGGGGGCCAAGAACCTCCCGCCGCGGGTTAATCACGACGCGAGCATGTCTGGGCTCCTTGCCCATGTACCCGATGTGGGTGTCGGTGGCCACGCAGATGCGGAGGGTGTCCGCGTCCGCGGGCTGCGGCCAGGCGGCCATGGCGCCCGCCCCACCCGAGCGGCCAGCGCGCCCCGAGGGGGGCCGGTCCTATGGGTTCTGGGGGCCCTGTGCGCGATGGCGCAGTCGGCGCGGTGCCCGCGGTGAGCCTCGAGGCTCGGGGCGCGGCCACGTCGTAGAGGCCCTGGCTTCGAGGTTCGGGGAGCGGCCACGTCCTGAAGGCCGTGGTCCCTGTTGTCGTTGAGGGGGGAGAGGGGGGGAGAGAGAGAGAGGGGGAAGGTCAACCGCCACCCTGCTGGGGGAGAAGCGCGGCCCGAGGTCCGGAGCCTGAGACACGCACCGCAGCCCAGGCAGGCGGAATGGCGAGGGTCCACATATGCGGGCCTAAGGGCGTGCGAAAGGATCACAGGGACTGGGGGGGCGGGAGGAAGGGGGACGAGGAGGGAAAGCAAATTGAACCCCACAGGTATGAAGCGATGGGGGGACAGGGGGAAGTCAGAGAAGGGAGAAGAGAGGAGGGAGGAAGGAGGAGAAAGGAGGGAGGAGAGCAGGAGCGGAGGAGGGGGAGGAGGAGGAGGAGGAGGAAGGAGCAGGAGCAGGAGGACGAGGAGGAGAAAGAGGAGGAGAGGAGGAGGAGGAGGAGGAGGAGGATAGGAGAGAGGAGGAGGAGGAGGAGGAGGAGGAGGAGAAGGAGGAGGGGGAAGAGGAATTGGAGGAGAGGGGAGGGGGGAGGAGGAGGAGAAGGAGGAGGAAGAAGAGGACGAGGACGAGGAGGACGAGGAGGACGAGGAGGACGAGGAGGACGAGGAGGACGAGGAGGACGAGGAGGAGAAGCAGGATTCTGCGACCGCGTGGACGGGCTCTGCATCCTGAGGGCCTCTCAGCGTGGAGCATGTAATTTCCAGGTTTCCCCCATTCGCGTACCCAGGACTTCGCCCGCCCTCGCGCCGTCCAATCCAGCGGGATCGCTTCCCACAGCCGACCTCTATGCGGTAGGTGATGCGCACAGGGCCCGCTCTCGAGCCCCTGCTCGTCGCTCGGTTGACAGCCACCATTGAGCTGCAGGGGGTGGTTTGAGCATCGTCTGCGTCGACAGGCTGGCCTCGTCGTCCTGGGCGCCCCCACACCCACGCTCGCCGGGTGACGCGTCTGCTCTCCCATGCCACTCAGACCGAGAGGGCCCCCGCTGCGCACAGGTTCACCTTTCATGCGAGGGTATCCGCTGCCGAAGTCGGGGTGGGTTTTCCGGCCCACCGCAGTCTATCGACGCGGGGGCGGGCTGAGCATCGAGCAAGCACATGGGCGAGGGAGGGGCCCGGACACCCCACCGCGTTCTGCCCCCGGCAATCCTGGAGGGCGCGCCGCTGGATAACCCCAAGGGGGGGGGGGTTGGGACCCCCGCCCCCTTTCCCCGATCCGTCGTCGGGAACCCCCCCCCCTTCCCGGTCCGCCGTCGGGAAGCCTCCCCCCCCTCCCCCCTCCCCCGTCCGTCGTCGGGACCCCCCCCCCGTGGTTCAAAATTCGAACATCCCCCCCTCCCCCCTTCGCCACGCCGCCCCCTGACTCCAGAACCCGCCCCCCCGACCACCCCTCACCATAATCCTCACCCGAACCGCAGACCCTAAACCTAACCCCAAAACCCTGACCCCAAACAGTACTCGATACTCACTACTCACTACCCACTACCCACTACCCACTACCCACTACCCACTACCCACTACCCACTACTCACTTCTCAATGCTTCCTACTCACTACTCACTACTCACTTTTCTATACTCTCTGCTTACTACTCACTACGCGCTACTCACTGCCCACCAATCACCACTCACTACTCACTACTCACCAAACACTTAACACTAACTCCCTAGTCACTAATCCTACTCACGAGTCACTGCTCACGAACTACTCTCTTGCTCAAAACTCACCACTCACTACTCTCTACTCGCTAATCCCTACACAGTACTCACTACTCACTACTTATTACTAGCTACTCCCTGCTCGGTACTCGCTACTCAGTGCTCACTACTCACCACCCACTACTCACGACTCACGACTCACTACTCAATACCCACTATTCACTGCTCCCTACTCCCTACTCACTACAAACTGTTCCCTACTCACTACTCACTACCCACTACTCACTACTCATTACCCACTACACACTACTCACTACTCACTACTCGCTACTCCCTGTTCGCTACTCGCTATACAATACTCCCTACTCACGACCCACTACTCACTACCCACTACTTACTGATCACTACTCACTACTCACCACTCACGACTCCCCAATCGCTAATCACTAGTCACGAGTCACTACTCAAACCTCACCACTTACTACTCACTACTCACCACTCACTACTTACTAATTAGTACTCACTAGCCACTATTCACAACTCACTACTCACGACCCATTACTCGCGACCAACTTCTCACATCTCTTTCTTATGCTGCTCTCAGCCTCAGTGCGGGCGGCGCCGCGGGTCTGCCAGCAGATGCGCGACACGCCGGCGCCCGCCCAGGATGGCCGGCTGCGCCTGGAAGTATCCCGACAGGTGAGAAAAAAAACAGGAGAGGCGGAGCAGAGGGGGCCGAGGAGGGAGCGAGGGTAGCTCAGCCGCCAACATTTCGGCTGACCCACACGCCGGCGGCTTTAAAGCCTGGCCCCTGCCAGAAAAAAAGCACCGACCACAGAAGGAGGCGCAGAAGGAGGGAGGAGAAGCCGAGAGACGTGCGCGACCCCACTCAGCGCAGCCAGTGAAACAGCGCATTGCCGAAATAAGGGGAGCAAGAGGAGACAGAGAGAGAGAGAGAAAGAGAAGAACGAGAAAGCGGAGGACGAGAGAAGAAAAGAAGGCAGGGATGACAAACAAACAATGCTGTGACGGGTAAACATAGAAGGCGGCTCCACACGGCGGGCGCTGGAAGCTCGCTGAGTAACAGGAGCCCGCGCAGCGGGAGTGCCCGTCGCACGCACGCGCACAACTACAAATTCACCAAACAAAACAAAAGGAAGGCCAGGGGAAGGGAGAGGGGAGCAGAAAGAAGGTGAAGCAGCGACGCATCGCGCATCACCGAGGGAAACTCCAGACTGTCCACAGCGGCCGACCTCAAAGGCGAGGCCGATGGACGTGAACATGATGTCCCAGTGAGTGGCCCTACCACCACCCCATAAGGCGCACCCCATCCACTCAACGACCACAAGAACATGATGTGCTGTTCTGGCGACATTGGCGTTGGCGCCGGCGACCATGCCGGGGGCGGTGCCGTGGTGCTGCTCTCGGTCGTACCGCTCGCCGGCGTGCTGGGCGTAGTGGTGCTGCTGGTCTCGGTCGTGCTCGTCCCACTCGTGGTGCTGCTCTCGGTAGTGCTCCTCGTCGACATTCTGGGCGTCGTGGTGCGGCTGGTATCGGTCGTGCTTGTCCTACTCGTGTTGACGCGCGGTCGTACTGCTCGCCGACGTGCTGGGCGCAGTGGTGCAGCTGGTCTCGGTCGTGCTCTTCCCACTCGTGGCGCTGCACTCGGTCGTACTGCTCGCCGACGTGCTGGGCGTAGTGGTGCTGCTGGGACCGGTCGTGCTCGTCCCACTCGAGGTGCTGCTCTCGGTCGTGCTGCTCGCCGACGTGCTGGGCGTAAGGGTGCTGCCGGTCTCGGTCGTCCTCGTCCCACTCGTGGTGCTGCTTTCGGTCGTACTGGTCGCCGACGTGCTGGCCGTGGTGGTGCTGCTGGTCTCGGTCGTGATCGTCCCACTCGTGGTGCTGCTCTCGATCGTGCTGCTCTCCGACGTGCTGGGCCTCCTTGTGCTGCTGGTGCCGGTCATGCTCGTCACTCTCGTGGTGCTGATGTCGGTCGTGCTGCTCGCCGACGTGCTGGGCAAAGTGGCGCTGCTGGTACCGGTCGTGCTTGTTACCCCCTTGGTGCGGCCCTCGGTCGTGCTGCTCGCCGACGTGCTGGGCGTAGTGGTGCTGAAGGTCTCGGTCGTGCTCATCACACTCGTGGTGTTGCTCTTGGTCGTACTGCTCGCCGACGTGCTGGGCGTAGTGGTGCTGCTGGTCCTGGGCATACTCGTCACCCTCGTGGTGCTGCTCTCGGTCGTGCTGCTCGCCGACGCGCTGGGCGTCGTGGTGCTGCTGGTCTCGGTCGTGCTCGTCACCATCGTAGTGCTGATCTCGGTCGTACTGCTCGCCGCCGCGCTTGGCGTCGTGGTGCTGCTGGTCTCGGTCGTGCTCGTCACCCTCGTGGTGCTGATGTCGGTCGTACTACTCACCGACGTGCTGCGCGTAGTGGCGCTGCGGGTCCCGATCGTGCCCGTCACACGCGTGGTGCTGCTTGCAGTCGTACTGCTCGCCGACGTGCTGTGCATGATGGTGTTGTTGGTACCCGTCGTGCTCGTCCCCCGACGTGCTGGGCGAAGTGGTGCTGCTGGTCTTGGTCGTGCTTGTCACACTCGTAGGGCTGCTCTCGGTCGTACTGCTCGCCGACGTGCTGGGCGTAAGGGTGCTGCTCGTACTCGTCGTGCTCGTGCCAATCGTGGTGCTGCTTTCGGTTGTACTGCTCGCCGACGTGTCGGGCGTAGTAGTGTTGCTGGTGCCGGTCGTGGTCGCCCCACTCGTGGTGCTGCTTTCGGTCGAACTGCTCACCGACGTGCTGAGTGTAGTGGTGCTGCTGGTCTCGGTCGTGAACATCAAGCTCCTGGTGCTGCTCTCGGTTGTACCGCTCGCCGACGTGCTGGGCGTAGTGGTGCTGCTGGTATAGCTTGCGCTCGTCACGCTCGTGGTGCTGCTTTCGGTCGTACTGCTTAGTGGTGTCGCTAGTCGTACTTGTCATACTCGTGGTGCTGCTTTCGGTCGTACTCTCCGACGTGCTGGGCGTGGTGGTGCTGCTGGTACAAGTCGCGCTTGCCACCCTCGTGGTGTTGCTCTCGGTCGTACTGCTCGCCGCTGTGCTGGGCGTAGTGGCGCTGTTGGCACCTGTCGCGCTCGCCCCACCCGTGGTGCTGCTCTCGGTCGCACTGCTCGCCGACCTGCTGGGCGTAGTGGCG